GGATATATTCACACGCTACATTGTGACTGTCACTTGTGCATTTAGCATTTTTACATGTACAGTACGCTGTGACGAGTGTGTGTCGGGTGGAGTGTGTGTGTGTGTGTCAGAGCAGCATCATCATGCAATCGTTGAATGCATGTAAATCTCTAACCCTGTCTTCTAGGTGTACGAAAACAACATTAGCCATGAGGGCAAATGCAGGTATGCCACCAGGAGGAGCCTCTGTTCCAGCGCGATTCTGGACCGCAAAGTCTTCGTCGACTGTCAACGAAGAAGAGCTGAGACCATTTCAGAGACGTTTGTCGGCTTCATGGTGGAACCAATCGGCGCGACCTAATGGTAAAATACGAGGCTTGCAAAATGAAATTTTCCGGCACAAACTCGATCAGCCATGTACTGATAAAACCGATCAGTATATATGTGGTGCGATCTTAAACCTCGGGGCGGGGGGGGGGTCACTATATATGCCGGATTACCCCATGTGCGTTCTCACTAAAAATAATAGCCCTAGTGCGAACTTGCACATTGGAAAACCCTACCCCTATTGCAGCCATAAAAACACCAATTAGAACACCCTACAGCACAATGGAAAAATATATCCCACCCTATTGCATACAACAATGAATAAGAGTCCTACCCGACCCCTACCCCTATTCGCGAGGTCTTGCAGACAAGTGGAAGGCAAAGAGTGGAGGGAATGGAGGGGGCCCGTGAGGGGGGCCTACTGCGGGCGCAATGCTTGACTTGAACGATCCCGAGGGCTTATTGCGGGATTAGCTTTGTAAAGGGGGGCCTGTTTGCTCCCGCGCGGGCCCGCTTTAGAAGTTGAAAAACACCCCCCTAACCCGCAAAATTTGGAACGCACATGGGGTAATACCGGCATATATAGTGACCCCCCCCCGGATCTTAACCACAAGTTACCTTATCGCTTCTCACTACCATGTGTCCCACGACGTGAAACATTCGTAGAGCACGGTCGGGTTAGTGCGATCTATAATCCATTAAAATAATGGACGTTGAAGTGTTACCATTCACAGTGTGTAGATGCTGGGCAGTGAACTATGAACTATGTATCACCCGCGTGGCATCACCCGCGCGGCGTCACCCGCGCGGCGTCACCCGCGCGGCGTCACCCGCGTCGTGTCACCTGATCTTTGTGAAGTCGTTGTGTCATTGTGTCGTTGTGTCGTGTCGTCGTCACGGAACTATGCAGCGTAGCCAGTGTCGTTTGATTGACTTAATGTGACATTTTATTGTTATTTCAAACAATTACTGTTACTCAAGCAACAGCGGTATTCTCACTCATCATGAGAGTGAGAATAAACACTAAAAAACGCTGAAAAAAACTCGCAACGATCGCTTTCATGTGCTACCGCAGGCGCTTCACTCCATGAACAGACTGCGCGTCCCTCTCATCAGAAACGCGCTGTCGGCCGAGGCTTCCTCTTCCGTCGAACCGCTGACGGGACTAAAGATTCTTGATGTCGGATGCGGAGGAGGAGTGCTGACGGAGGTTGGTTGCCCCTGGCGACGCACACATGCAAGAGCACGTTGTGAAAGATTAGCATTTAGAACGCATTATTTATATGTTTATGCAGCACTTGTAACTATAGAAGAATTATAATATGAAAGAAAACATTCAAAATATGTAAATGCGAAAAGTATAATAATATCCTATGAAAGTACACTGTTGCAGTGACACTTTCCCGTCTTGATAGTTAACACCTACGCATGCAGTGTTTGTGGAATTCTTATATTGCTGTTCCTCGGGAAGATGGCTACTCCCTCACAGAATCCTGTTACGGGATTTCGTATTGAGAACAGGTTTTTTCTCTCCCGGGAGCACCTGACTTTCATGACACAGCGTATAACTGTCAAGGTGAAATGAAGCTGATGATGACATGTTCTCCCTGTGATTTGTCCCCCTGCAGCCCCTCGCTGCTCCCCAGGAAGATAGCTACTCCCCCACAGAATCCTGTTACTGGATTTCACGTTGAGAGCTGGTTTATTCTTAGCGGGGAACACTCGACTTTCATTTCTTGTAAAGATGAGATAAAGTTGATAACGGCTTTCTCTCCGTGATACATTCCCTTGCAGCCCCTCGCTCGGCTTGGCGCCTCCGTCACAGGTCTGGACGTCCTTGAAGAGAACGTTGCCGTCGCCACGATGCACGCCGACCTTGACCCGACCCTTCAAGGCAGGTGAGCGAGCGCGACGGGAACGTGTCGTGCGTCCGCGGCGTTTTCTCGCGTCAGTGCAGGAGGACGAAGTGATGATGCCGTAACCTTGTGTGTCGAACGTAGATGGCGCCAAGGAGCTAAATATAACAAGGAGAGGAAGCGCCGCCATATCTGGCCCAAATTTGGGTTCGGCAGAGACCCTAGAACAGATTAGTGTTCTATTGTCTCTGGGTTCGGTCTGCACAGCCGTTTCACCTGATTATGGTCCATAGATGGCGCCCTTGAGGCGAACAGCACACAGCCAATCCGCTTCCTCTCCTTGTTATATTTAGCTCCTTGGGATGGCGCACGCAACCAATGGTTAACGTGTGGAAAATTATTATGTATGTATGAGTATCAAGAGTAGATAAATAACAAGAGTGAGACAACCGATTCCCGCATTTTTAACCGATTTTTCTCATCAAAATTTACCACCAATAAAGAAGCAAGTGTATACGTTCCTCGGCTTATTATGACCACTAATCACTCACCTTCGTGGTACTGATATTCGTTTACATATATTTGCTAGCGTATTGCTGTAAATCGTAATCTTGCACGAGCTGAATTCGCACAATTTACCGCTTTTGTTGCGACCTGTTTAGCCATTATTTAGAAGCTATCGGGGCGCCAATATTTAGCAACGGACGTTTCCAAATCATTCGTGCCCCGATAGGGTTGAGAGACAATCTACATTTCGAAGTTTGATCTCGCGAGACGCGCTCAGTTATTGTGATCGCAACACAAGAAATTGACATACTATCTTACATAAGTAATAATACATATTATATGAAATTTATTAAACAATATTCATCTGTAGTAGTTTGCAGTAAAGTATCACATTACGCGCCCGCAGGTAATCAAGTACATTAAACCCGCTATCGGGGCAGCGACATGAGTTGGAAAGCGTCCGTCTACCATATTGGCGGCCCGCGATAGCTTCTACATCATGGCTAAACAGGTCGGAAAAAAAAAAAGAATAAAAAAAAAAAAGAAAAAAAAAAGAAAAAAAAAAATAAAAAAAAAGAAAAAAAATAAAAAAAAAAAAAATAAAAAAAAAAAAAAAAAAAGAAAAAAAAAAAAAAAAAAAAAAAAAAAAAAGAAAAAAAAAAAAAAAAATAAAAAAAAAAACTAGTCGCCCATTTTAGCGGTAAATTGTGCCGAATTTAGCTCGTGCAAGATACGATTTACAGCAATACGCTGTCAAATATATGTAAACGAAATATCAGTACCACGAAGGTGAGTGATTAGTGGTCATATAAGCTGAGAACGTATACACTTGGCTTCTTTATTGGTGTAAATTTTGATGAGAAAATCGGTTAAAAATGCGGGAATCCGTTGTCTCACTCTTGTTATTTATCTACTCTTGATGAGTATTGATATATTTGTTTGTATTGTAGTATATTTTATTACTAGGCATCACTCACTGTCTCCCGCTAACTCTTTTGTGAGAGGAGTTTGCGATGAGGATTTTATGATTCGGGCTGGAGATTCTATCAGTTAAACTAGTCTGGACATGAGGAGACAAGAATTTCCAACCTGGGAAACTCGTATATTTGTTTTTGTATTGTACAGAATGCTTTACCACTATGCATCACTGTTTCCCACTAAATCTTTTGTGAGAGGAGTTTGTGATGGGGATGTGGGTTCGAGATTCACAAACTATGTTGGACAATTCCAGCCAGAGACGTGAATTTCCAGCTTGGGGAAACACACGATACGCGCAGCTGTGATACTACGACTTTTGACAAAACTGCGCTAGCTTGACAAAGTCTTGATCGTTGGTCTCTTATGTTTTCTCCTTATCGTCTGCAGGTTGACGTACGTCCAGAGCACTGTGGAGGACATGGCTGAAGAGATGCCCTCTTGTTTTGATGCGTCGTGGCGTCCGAGGTCGTGGAGCATGTCAACGAGCAGACGACCTTTGTCGGTGCGTGCTGCACCTAGTCAAGGTAAAGTCGTGAAAGAGAGCGATTTATGTAAGGTTGGGGGAATGCTCTATCTGAGGGGCACTTGGTACGTGCTGCCCCCTGGTGAAAAGCATTAACGTCACATCAATCCGATCCATCGGTAAATTTTATAATTATGTATGCTAAAAAAATTCTCACTGTTTGTCTGTTGAACCAAGTTAAATTAGTAAAAAAAAAAAGATGCCAAAAATTCAGCAACTCTGCACAGTAAACAAAAGCGGCGTACTTTCGCAGCCCGGTGGCTCCCTCTCATGACGACGTTGAACAAGACGTGGCTTCGTACCTGCTGGGCATCGTGCGGCGGAGAAGTTGCTACGCGTTGTGCGGACGCGAACTCACGACTGGAGAAAATTCATCTCTCCGCGACCCTGCAGGAGATCGCTGCAGCGAGTGAGTGCGCGTTTTATTTGCGAGGAGATTGGCGGAGGCTGCGAGTGTTTTTGTGTGTAGTGGCGCACCCTGGTGTAGATTGAGAAAGCAAGCAAGTGTACATTTTATTCAGTGACCCTGCCTGGAGTATATAGTGGTTTTGTTTATGATGGTGCGTTTTTTCTGTTAATTGTGGACCTAGTCGGGCACTGA